ACAGCGGAGCCCAAACAGCGGAGCCCAAACAGCGGAGCTCAAACAGCAGAGCCCAAACAGCGGAGCTCAAACAGCAGAGCCCAAACAGCAGAGCTCAAACAGCGGAGCTCAAACAGCGGAGCCCAAACAGCGGAGCCCGCAGGCTGCGGGGCCTCATCCCCCGGGCTGGCTGGGTGGGGAGAAGCGGGAGAGAAATGGGGGAGAGCAGGGGGAGAGTGAGGGGGGAATGAGGGGAGAGTGAGGGGGGAAGAAGGGGGGAATGAGGGGGGAATGGGAAGAGAAGCAAGGGGGGGAACGAAGGGAGAGGGGGAAAAGAGGGAAGAGTGAGGGTGGAGCGAGGGGAGAATGAGAGGGAGAATGAGGGGGGGAATCGAGGAGGGAATGAGGGAAGAGTGAGAGGAGAATGGGGGGAGAACGAGGGGAGAGTGAGGAGAGACCAGAGGGAGAACAAGGGGAGAGTGAGGGAGGAAGGGGAGGAATGAGGGGAGAGCAGGGGGACAGCAGGGGGAGAACGAGTGGGAGAACAGGAGAGAGGAGGGAGAGAAGGGAGAACGAGGGGGAGAACCAGGGAGAGAAGCAGGGGGGGGAATGAGGGGAGAGAGAGGGGAACAAGGGGAGAGTGAGGGGGAGAACGAGGGGGAGAACCGGGAGGAGAAACGGAGAGAACCAAGGGAGAGTGAGGGGAGAGAGCGAGGGGAACGAGGGGAGAATGAGGGGGGAGAACCAAGGGAGAGTGAGGGGAGAGTGAGGGAGGAACGAGGGGAGAGAAGCTGGGGGACAACGAGGCGGGGAAGGAGCGGAGAGCGAGGGAAGAGAACGGGGAAGAGAAGCAGGGGGAGAACGAGGAGAGCGAGGAGAGAGAGGAGAGGGGCAGAACGAGGGCCCGCAGCCCCTCCCGGCTCCCCCTCCTCGCCCCGCGGCCATCCCGGGCCGGGCCGGCGGAGCCCGGCGGGGCCGGGGCCGGGCCGGGGCCGGCGGGGGCGTTGCACGGAGAGGCAGCGGCGGAGCCAATGCGCAGGAAGGGGCCGAGCATGTGGGGAGAGGTTGTTTACAGCAGCCCGGCCCCGGGAGCTTTAACCCGGCCGGCGGCTCGGCGAGGCTCGGAGCGGGGCGCGGTGAGTGCCGGCGGGCTCGGCTTCCTCCCCTCACTCTCCTTCTTCTTCCTCCTTCTTCTCTTCCTGGCTGAGCGGGGAAATGGGGGGGGGGGAAAGGAAAAAAAAAAAATTAGGGGGAAAAAAAAAATAATTAAAAAAGAAAAAACCCCGCGCGCGGGAGCGGCGGTTCCCGCCCGGCCGCGGCTCCGCCCCCGCCCCGCCCGGCCCGGCGCGGGCCGCAGCCCGGGGCCGGCAACCGGGAGCGTTTCAAAACAGCCGCAGGTGAGCGGGACCGAGCCGGGCCGGGCCGGGCTGGGCTGGGGTGGGGGCAGCCGGTCCTGCCCAGCCGGGTCCTGCCGGTCCCGGTGAGCGCAGCGCCTTCCCCGGGTCCTGCTCGGGGCATCCTCGGGGGGCCCTTGCCCCGGTTTCCATGTACCCCCCCCCCCCCCGGCATTCCCTGCCCGGTGTCCGTGTCCCCTTATCCCGGTGTCCGTGTCCCCCCCCCGGCATTCCCTGCCCTGTGTCCGTGTCCCCCCCGGCATTCCCTGCCCGGTGTCCGTGTCCCCTTATCCCGGTGTGTGTGTGTGTGTCCCCGGCATTCCCTGCCCGGTGTCCGTGTCCCCTTATCCCGGTGTGTGTGTGTGTGTCCCCGGCATTCCCTGCCCGGTGTCCGTGTCCCCTTATCCCGGTGTCCGTGTCCCCGGCATTCCCTGCCCGGTGTCCGTGTCCCGCCCATCTCGGGGCATTCCTATCCCGGTGTGTCCGTGTCCCCCCCCGGCATTCCCTGCCCGGTGTTCATGTCCCCCTTTCCCGGTGTCTGTGTCCCTCCCCTCCGCCCGGTACTCCCTGCCCGGTGTCCGTGTCCCCCCCTTATCCCGGGGCACTCCCTGCCCTGTGTCCGTGTCCCCCGTCCCCCCCCGGCACTCCCGTCCCGCTGTCCGTCCCCCCAGTCCCGCTGTCCGTCTGTTCCCCAGTCCCGCCGTCTGTCCCCCAGTCCCGCTGTCTGTCCGTCCCCCCCCGTCCTGCTGTCTGTCTGTTCCCCAGTCCCTCTGTCCGTCTGTCCCCCCCAGTCCCGCTGTCCGTCTGTCCCCCCCAGTCCCGGTCCTCTCCTCGCTGTCCGTATCCCATCCCAGCCTGGTCCCGGTCCGGCTCCGTGTCCCTCCCTCCGGTTTGCCCGGTCCGTGTGTCCGTGTGTCCGTCCCTCCCTCCGTCCGTCTGTCCGTCCGTCCGTCCGTCCGTGCCCCCCGCCCCGCGCACGTGCCCTGCCCGGTGCCGCCCTCCCTCCGCGCCAGGCCCGGGCGCTCTCCCGCTCCTCCTCCTCCTCCTCCTCCTCTTCCTCCTCCTCCTCCTCCTCTTCCTCCTCCTCCTTTGCCGCCTTCCCCACGTGCCCCGCGGCCGGGAATACGCGCAATCCATGGAGCCGGGAATTCATGGAGCCAGGAATCCGGGAATGCACGGATCCAGGAATTCGGGAATGCACGGATCCACGGATCCATGGATCCGGGAATTCATGGAGCCAGGAATCCGGGAATGCACGGATCCAGGAATTCGGGAATGCACGGATCCACGGATCCGTGGATCCAGGAATTCATGGGAATTCCTGGATCCATGGGATCCAGGGATCCGGGAATACACGGATCCAGGAATTTATGGAGCCAGAAATCCGGGAATTCGGGAATGCACGGATCCACGAATCCATGGATCCAGGAATTCACGGATCCAGGAATTCAGGAATCCACGGATCCACGAATTAATGGATCCAGAAATCCAGGAATTCGGGAATACACGGATCCAGGATTTCATGGATGTCCAGGAATTCACGGATCCAGGAATTCACGGATCCAGGAATCCAGGAATTCAGGGATCCAGGAATTCACGGATCCAAGAATTCAGGAATCCATGGATCCACGAATCCGGGAATCCACGGATCCAGGAGTTCAGGAATCCACGGATCCAGGAATTTATGGATCCAGGAATTTTCCCCCTTTTTCCCCTTTTTTCTTTTTTCCTTTTTTTCCTTTTTTCCTTTTTTCCTTTTTCCCCTTTTTTCCTTTTTTTCCTCCTTTTCTCCCTTCCCCCCTTTTTCCCCTTTTTTTTCATTTTTTTCCTTTTTTTCCTCCTTTCCCTTTTTCCCCTTTTTCCTCTTTTCCCCCTTTTTCCCCCTTTTTCCCCTTTTTCCCCCCCTTTTTCCCCTTTTTTCTTTTTTCCTTTTTTCCTTTTTTTCCCCCTTTTTCCCCTTTTTCCTGTTTCCCCCCTTTTTTCCTTTTTTCCTTTTTTTTCCCTTTTCCCCCCTTTTTTCCCTTCTTTTTTTCCTTCATTTTTTCCTTTTTTTTCTTTTTTTCCCTTTCTTTCCCTTTCCCCCCTTTTCCCCCTTTTTTCTTTTTTTCCTTTTTTTCCTCCTTTCCCTTTTTCCTCCTCTTTCCCCTTTTTCCCCTTTCCCCCCTTTTTCCCTTTTTTCCTTTTTTCCTTTTTTTTTCCCTTTTTTTTTCCATTTTTTTCCCCTTTTTTTCCTCCCCTCTGGCTGCCGGGGCCGGAGGGGGAAGGAAAAAGGGGAGGAGGGAAAATGAAATCCCAAAGTTTGGATCCCCAATCCTGGAATTCCCCAGTTTGGATCCCCAATCCTGGGAAATCCCAAAGTTTGGATCCCAAATCCTGGAATTCCCCAGTTTGGATCCCAAATCCTGGGAAATCCCAAATTTTGGATCCCAAATCCTGGAATTCCCCAGTTTGGATCCCAAATCCTGGGAAATCCCAAAGTTTGGATCCCAAATCCTGGGATATCGCGGAGTTTCTGTGCCCAGTGACAGCTCTGGATGCCACCCCCGTGTCCGTCTGTCTGTCCACACGTCCCCAGTGCCACCCCGTGTCCGTCTGTCTGTCCCCAATGCCACCCCTGTGTCTGTCTGTCTGTCCCCACATCCCCGGTGCCAGCTCCGGGTATCACCCCCATGTCCGTCTGTCTGTCCCCAGTGCCACCCCTGTGTCCGTCTGTCTGTCCCCATGTCCCCAGTGCCAACCCCGTGTCCATCTGTCTGTCCCCAATGCCACTCTTGTGTCTGTCTGTACCCCCCCGTCCCCAATGCCCCCCATGTCCGTCTGTCTGTCCCCAATGCCCCCCCGTGTCCGTCTGTCTGTCCGCATATCCCCAGTGCCACCCCCACGTCCGTCAGTCCGTCCCCCTGTCCCTGGTGCCAGCTCCAGGTGCCATCCCCCGTGTCCGTCTGTCTGTCCCCACGTCCCCAATGCCATCTGCATGTCCGTCAGTCCGTCCCCCTGTCCCTGGTGCCAGCTCTGGGTGCCACCCCTGTGTCCGTCTGTCCGTCCCCACGCCCCCAATGCCACCCCCTTGTCCGTCTGTCTGTCCCCAATGCCACTCTTGTGTCTGTCTGTCCCCCCTCCGTCCCCAATGCCCCCCCGTGTCCGTCCCCAATGCCAGCCCAAAGTCTGTCCGTCTGTCCCCACATCCCCAGTGCCAGCTCTGGGTGCCACCCTCATGTCTGTCTGTCTGTCCCCACATCACCAATGCCACCATGTCCCCAGTGCCACCCCTGTGTCTGTCTGTCTGTCCCCACATCCCCGGTGCCAGCTCCGGGTATCATCCCCATGTCCGTCTGTCTGTCCCCAGTGCCACCCCTGTGTCCATCTGTCTGTCCCCACATCCCCAGTGCCACCCCCATGTCTGTCTGTCTGTCCCCCTGTCCCTGGTGCCAGCTCCGGGTGCCACCCCCTTGTCTGTCCGTCTGTCCCCACGTCCCCAGTGCCACCTCCATGTCCGTCCGTCTGTCCCCCCGTGTCCATCCGTCCCCCCCGCCCCGGTGCCAGCCGCGGGTGCCGCCCTCGCAGCGCCCGCGTGTCCGTCCGTCCTTCGGCAGGTCCATCCGTCCGTCCGTCCGTCGGTCCCCGGCCATGGCCCCGGTGCTGCCGCGCCGCCTGGGGAAGCGCTCCCTGCTGGGCGCCCGCCTTCCGGAACCTTCCGCGCTCCCGCCCGGCTCCCCCGGAGCCCCCGGCCCCGGATCCCTGCGGGGGCAGCCACAGGTACCCTCGGGGAGACAAAATCCCATTGGGGATTCCCCCAAAATACCAGGGATTCACCCCAAAATCCCATTGGGGATTTCCCCCCAAAATCTCAGGGATGTCCCCCAAAATCCCATTGGGGATTCCCCCAAAATCCCAGGGATCCACCCCAAAATCCCATTGGGGATTCCCCCAAAATCCCAAGGATTTCCCCCAAAATCCCATTGGGGATTTCCCCCCAAAATCCCAGGGATCCACCCCAAAATCCCATTGGGGATTCCCCCAAAATACCAGGGATCCACCCCAAAATCCCAAGGATTTCCCCCAAAATCCCATTGGGGATTCCCCCCAAAATCCCATTGGGGATTCCCCCCAAAATCCCATTGGGGATTCCCCCAAAATCCCAGGGATTTCCCCCAAAATCCCAAGGATTTCCCCCAAAATCCCATTGGGGATTTCCCCCCAAAATCCCAGGGATTCCCCCAAAATCCCATTGGGGATTCCCCCCAAAATCCCATTGGGGATTTCCCCCCAAAATCCCATTGGGGATTTCCCCCCAAAATCCCAAGGATTTCCCCCCAAAATCCGCGGGGATCTGCGGCTCTGGGGGTTTTTGGTGGAATCCTCAAATCCATTTCTTTCCAAGGAATCCCAAATTCCAGGGAAATGTGGGGTTTTTGCCCGGGAAAAGGGTCCAAAGCGTGCGCTCGGCGCTGCGCCCCCGCTGAGGATCCTTTGGGAACATCCAGGGGAATTCCCTGCCGGGAGGAGCTGCCGGGCTGGCATCCCAATCCCAAAGGAATTACAGTTCCCACATCCCAATCCCAAGGGAATCAAATCCCCCACATCCCAATCCCAAAGGAATTACAGTTCCCACATCCCAATCCCAAAGGAATTACAGTTCCCACATCCCAATCCCAATGGAATTAAAGTTCCCACATCCCAATCCCAAGGGAATCAAAGTTCCCACATCCCAATCCCAAAGGAATCGAATCCCCCACATTCCAATCCCAAGGGAATAAAATCCCCCACATCCCAATCCCAAAGGAATTAAAGTTCCCACATCCCAATCCCAAGGGAATCGAATCCCCCACATTCCAATCCCAAGGGAATTGAATCCCCCACATCCCAATCCCAAGTCTCCCATTCCCGAAGGAATTCAGTCTCCTCCATTTCGATCCCAAAGGAATTCAAGCTCCCAATTCCAATCCCAAGGGAATCGAATCCCCCACGTTCCAATCCCAAAGGAATTAAAGTTTCCCAATCCCAAAGGAACCAAATCCCCCAACTCCAGTCCCGAGGGAATTCAATCCCCCACATTCCAATCCTGAGAGAATTCAGTCTCCCAGTTCCAATCCCAAGGGAATCAAATCCCCCACATTCCAAACCCAAAAGAATTCAATCTCCCAATCCCAAAGGAATTAAAGTTCCACATCCCAATCCCAAGGGAATCGAACCCCCCACGTTTCAATCCCAAAGGAATTAAAGTTCCCACATCCCAATCCCAAAGGAATCAAATCTCCTAATTCCAATCCCAAGGGAATCGAATCCCCCACATCCCAATCCCAAGTAATTCAGTCTCCCATTTCCGAAGGAATTCAGTCTCCTCCATTTCGACCCCAAAGGAATTCAAGCTCCCAATTCCAATCCCAAGGGAATCGAATCCCCCATGTTCCGATCCCAAAGGAATTAAAGTTTCCCAATCCCAAAGGAATCAAATCCCCCAACTCCAGTCCCGAGGGAATTCAATCTCCCACATTCCAATCCTGAGAGAATTCAGTCTCCCAGTTCCAATCCCAAGGGAATTCAATCTCCCAATCCCAATCCCAAGGGAATCAAATCCCCCACGTTTCAGTCCCAAAGGAATTAAAGTTCCCACGTTCCAATCCCGAGGGAATTCGATCTCCCAGTTCCAAGGGATTTCAGTCTCCCAATCCTGAGGGGATGAAATCCCCCACATTCCAATCCCAAAGAAATTCAGTCTCCCTATTCCAATCCCAAGGGAATCAAATCCCCCACATTCCAAACCCAAAAGAATTCAATCTCCCAATCCCAAAGGAATTAAAGTTCCCACATCCCAATCCCAAAGGAATCAAATCTCCCAATTCCAATCCCAAGGAAATCAGATTTCCCACATTCCAGTCCCAAGGGAATAAAATCTCCCAATTCCAATCCTGAAGGAATCAAATCCCCCACATTCCAATCCCAAACAAATTCAGTCTCCCAGTCCAAATCCCAAAGGAATTAAAGTTCCCACATTCCAATCCCAAAGGAATTCAATCTCCCAATTCCAATCCCAAGGGAATCAGAACTCCCAATCCCAACCCTGAACGAATTCAATTCCCCAATCCCAAAGGAATCAAATCCCCCACGTTTCAATCCCAAAGGAATTAAAGTTCCCATGTTCCAATCCCAAGGGAATTCAATCTCCCAATTCCAAGGGATTTCAGTCTCCCAGTCCTAAGGGAATCAAATCCCCCACATCCCAATCCCAAAGGAATTCAAGATCCCAATCCCGGGAAAATTCGATCTCCCAGATCCAATCCCAAAGGAATCAAAGTTCCCACATTTCAACCCCGAGGGAATTGAATCTCCCAATCCCAAGGGAACTTGGTCTCCCAGTCCTGAGGGAATGAAATCCCCCATTCCAATCCCAAAGGAATCAAAGTTCCCACATTCCAACCCCGAGGGAGTTCGGTCTCCCAATTCCAATCCTAAAGAAATCAAATCTCCCAATCCCAAGGGAATTCAATCTGCCAGTTTCAATCCTGAGGGAATCAAATCCCCCACATTCCAACCCCAAAGGAATCCAACCCCCCACATTCCAATCCCAAAGGAATTCAAAGTTCCCACATTCCAACCCCGAGGGAATCAAACCTCCCAGTCCCAAGGGAATTCAATCCCCCAATTCCAATCCCAAGGGAATTCAAAGTTCCCACATTCCAATCCCAAAGGAATCAAATCTCCCAATCCCAAAGGAATAAATCCCCCAATTCCAGTCCCAAAGGAATTCAAAGTTCCCACATTCCAATACCAAAGGAATGAAATCTCCCAATCTCAAGGGAATTCAATCCCCCAATTCCAGTCCCAAGGGAATTCAAAGTTCCCACATTCCAACCCCAAAGGAATCAAACCTCCCAATCCCAAAGGAATCAAATCCCCCAATCCCAATCCCAAAGGAATTAAAAGTTCCCACATTCCAACCCCGAGGGAATCAAACCTCCCAATCCCAAGGGAATTCAATCCCCCAATTCCAATCCCAAGGGAATTCAAAGTTCCCACATTCCAATACCGAGGGAATCAAATCTCCCAATCCCAAAGGAATCCAATCCCCTAATTCCAATCCCAAAGGAATTCAAATCTCCCAATCTCAAGGGAATTCAATCCCCCAATTCCAGTCCCAAAGGAATTCAAATCCCCCGCATTCCAATCCCAAAGGAATCCAATCCCCCAATCCCAATCCCAAAGGAATTCAAAGTTCCCACATTCCAATCCCAAAGGAATCAAACCTCCCAATCCCAAGGGAATTCAATCTCCCAATTCCAATCCCAAGGGTATTCAGTCTCCCAATCCCAAAGGAATTGGAGTCGCCACATTCCAATCCCAAAGGAATCCAATTCCCCCGATCCCAATCCCAAAGGAATCAAATCCCCCACATTCCAATACCAAAGGAATCAAATCTCCCAATCCCAAGGGAATCCAATCCCCTAATTCCAGTCCCAAAGGAATCAAAGTTCCCACATTCCAATCCCGAAGGAATCAAATCTCCCAATCCCAAGGGAATCAAACCTCCCAATCCCAAGGGAATTCAATCTCCCAATTCCAATCCCAAGGGTATTCAGTCTCCCAATCCCAAAGGAATTAGAGTCGCCACATTCCAATCCCAAAGGAATCCAATCCCCCAATCCCAATCCCAAAGGAATAAATCCCCCAATTCCAATCCCAAAGGAATCAAAGTTCCCACATTCCAATCCCGAGGGAATCAAACCTCCCAATCCCAAGGGAATTCAGTCTCCCAGTTCCAATCCCAAGGGAATTCAGCCTCCCAATCCCAAACGAGAATCCGTGGGTTCCGGAAAAATTCACGGACGCGCCCCGAAAACCTGCGAATTTGCCATTCCGGTTGGATCCCGGGGCTGGGAATTGCCGGAGTTCCCGGGATTGTCCAATCCGGGAATCGCTGAGGGCGGGAACCCCTGGATTTGGGATTTCTGGGGGCGTGGGCAGAGCAGATTCTTTGGGATCGCCCCGGCAGTGTGGAACCCCAGCCCCGCAGGGCAGGAGGATCCCAAAGCCATCCCGACCCTTTTCCAGGTGCTCCGGAGCCCCCTGGAGGAGCAGATCCCGGCGTTCCCGGCGTTCCCGGCGTTCCCGGCGCGCTGGGGGGAGCGGGAGCCACCCCAGGCCCCGCCCGGCTCCGGCGTTCCCGGCAGATCCAGGTCCTGCAGCATCGACGTTCCCAAAAGGTCCGTGCCTGGTCCCGGTCCCAAATCCTGGGATCCACCCCAGTCTGGGTCCCAAATCCTGGGATTTCCCAATTTGGGATCCCAGGTCCTGAGATATCCCTGATTTGGATCCCAGATCCTGAGATATCCCAAAGTTTCTGTGCCTGAGAGTTCCCAATTGAGATCCCAAATCCTGGGATGTCCCAGAGTTTCTGTGGCTGGGATTCCCAATTTAGGTCCCAGATCCTGAGATTTCCCGATTTGGGTCCCAAATCATGGAATTCCCCAATTTAGGTCCCAAATCCTGGGATTCCCCAGTTTGGGTCCCAAATCCTGGGATATCCCAGAGTTTCTGTGGCTGGAATTCCCCAGTTTGGGTCCCAAATCCTGGGATTCTCCAGTTTGGATCCCAGATCCTGGGATATCCCAGAGTTTCTCCACCTGGGATTCCCAATCTGGATCCCAGATCCCAAGATTTCCCAGTTTGGATCCCAAAACCTGGAATTCCCCAGTTTGGATCCCAAATCTGGGATTCCCAATTTGAATCCTAAGACCTGGAGTTCCCCAATTCGGATCCCAAATCCTGGGATTCCCCGTTTGAATCCCAAATCCTGGGATTCCCCGTTTGAATCCCAAATCCTGGGATGTCCCAGAGTTTCTGTGCCTGGGATTCCAAATTTAGGTCCCAGATCCTGAGATATTCCCTGTTTGGATCCCAAATCCTGGAATTCCCAAATTTGGATCCCAAATCCTGAGATATCCCAAAGTTTCTGTGCCTGAGAGTTTGGGTCCCAAATCCTGGAATTTCCCAATTTGGATCCCCGATCCTGAGATATCCCCGATTTGAATCCCAGATCCTGGGATATCCCAGAATTTCTCCACCTGTGATTCCCAATTTGGATCCCAGATCCTGAGTTATCCCTGCTTTGGATCCCGAATCCTGGAATTCCTGTTTGGATCCCAAATCCTGAAATTCCCCAATCTGGATCCCAGATCCTGGGATATCCCAGAGTTTCTCCACCTGTGATTCCCAATCTGGATCCCAAATCCTGAGATTCCCTGTTTGGATCCCAAATCCTGGGATGGCTCAGTTTGAATCCCAAATCCTGGAATTCCCCAATTTCAATCCCAAATCCTGGGATATCCCAGACTTTCTCCACCTGTGATTCCCCAGTTTGGATCCCAAATCCTGGGATTCCCCAATTTGAATCCCAAATCCTGGGATATCCCAGATATCCATGTGAGATTCCCTGGATTGGATCCCAAACCCTGGGAATTCCCCAATTTGGATCCCAAATTCTGGGATTCCCCAATTTCAATCTCAAATCCTGGGATATCCCAGAGTTTCTGTGCTTGGGATTGCCCCGTTTGGATCCCAAATCATGGAATTCCCCAATTTGGATCCCAAATCCTGGGATTCTCCAGTTTGGATCCCAGATCCTGGGATATCCCAGAGTTTCTCCACCTGGGATTCCCAATCTCGATCCCAGATCCCAAGATTTCCCAGTTTGGATCCCAAATCCTGCAATTCCCCAGTCTGGATCCCAAATCTGGGATTCCCAATTTGAATCCTAAGTCCTGGAGTTCCCCAATTCAGATCCCAAATCCTGGGATTCCCTGGTTTGGAGCCCAAATCCTGGAGTTCTCCAATTTAAATCCCAAATCCTGGAGTTCCCTAATTTCAATCACAAATCCTGGGATTCCCAATTTGGATCCCAAATCCCGAGAGATTTCCTGATTTGGGTCCCAAATCATGGAATTCCCCAATTTAGGTCCCAGATCCTGGGATTCCCCAGTTTGGATCCCAAATCCTGAAATTCCCCAATCTGGATCCCAGATCCTGGGATATCCCAGATTTTCTCCACCTGTGATTCCCAATCTGGATCCCAGATCCCAAGATTTCCCAGTTTGGATCCCAAAACCTGGAATTCTCCAATTTGGGTCCCAAATCCTGGAATTCCCCAGTTTGGATCCCAAATCTGGGATTCCCAATTTGAATCCCAAATCCTGGAGTTCCCCAGTTTGGATCCCTAATCCTGATATTCCCCATTTGCATCCCAAATCCTGGGAGTGCCCAGTTTGAATCCCAAATCCTGGAATGCCCCAATTACAATCCCAAATCCTGGGATATCCCAGACTTTCTCCACCTGTGATTCCCCATTTTGGATCCCAGATCCTGAGATGCCCAATTTGAATCCCAAATCCTGGGATATCCCAGATATCCATGCGAGATTCCCTGGATTGGATCCCAAACCCTGGGAATTCCCCAATTTGGATCCCAAATCCTGGGATTCCCCAATTTCAATCTCAAATCCTGGGATATCCCAGAGTTTCTGTGCTTGGGATTGCCCCGTTTGGATCCCAAATCATGGAATTCCCCAATTTGGATCCCCAATCCTGGGATTCCCCAGTTTGGGTCCCAAATCCTGGGATGTCCCAGAGTTTCTGTGGCTGGAATTCCCCAGTTTGGATCCCAAATCCTGGAATTCCCCAATTTGGATCCCCAATCCTGGGATTCCCCAGTTTGGGTCCCAAATCCTGGGATATCCCAGAGTTTCTCCACCTGGGATTCCCAATCTCGATCCCAGATCCCAAGATTTCCCAGTTTGGATCCCAAATCCTGCAATTCCCCAGTCTGGATCCCAAATCTGGGATTCCCAATTTGAATCCTAAGTCCTGGAGTTCCCCAATTCAGATCCCAAATCCTGATATCCCTGTTTGGATCCCAAATCCTGAGAGATTTCCAGATTTGGGTCCCAAATCATGGAATTCCCCAATTTAGGTCCCAGATCCTGGGATTCCCCAGTTTGGATCCCAAATCCTGAAATTCCCCAATCTGGATCCCAGATCCTGGGATATCCCAGAGTTTCTCCACCTGTGATTCCCAATCTGGATCCCAGATCCCAAGATTTCCCAGTTTGGATCCCAAATCCTGGAATTCCCGTTTGGATCCCAAATCCTGAGATTTCCCAGTTTGGATCCCAAATCTTGGAATTCCCCAGTTTGGATCCCAAATCCTGTGATTCCCCAATGTGCATCCAAAATCCTGGGATTCCCCAGTTTGAATCCCAAATCCTGGAATTCCCCAATTTGGATCCCAAATCCTGGGATATCCCAGAGTTTCTCCCCCTGTGATTCCCAATTTGGATCCCAGGCCCTGAGATGTCCCTGTTTGAATCCCAAACCCTGGGATGCTCAAATCTGGATCCCAGATCCTGCAATTCCCCAGTTTGGATCCCAAATCCTGAGATTCTCCAGTTTGGATCCCAAATCCTGGGATATCCCAAAGTTTCTGTGCCTGGAATTCCCCAGTTTGAATCCCAAATCCTGCAATTCCCCAATCCGAATCCCAAATCCAGGATTTCCTCAATTTGGATCCCAAATCCTGGAATTCCCCAATTTGGATCCCAAATCCTGGGATTCCCCGGTTTGGATCCCAGATCCTGGAGTTCTCCAATTTAAATCCCAAATCCTGGAGTTCCCTAATTTCCATCATAAATCCTGGGATTCCCAATTTGGATCCCAAATCCTGAGAGATTTCCAGATTTGGGTCCCAATCATGGAATTCCCCAATTTAGGTCCCAAATCCTGGGATTTCCTAGTTTGGATCCCAAATCCTGGAATTCCCCAGTTTGGATCCCAAATCTGGGATTCCAAATTTGAATCCTAAATTCTGGAATTCCCCAATTCGGATCCCAAATCTGGGATTCCCCAATTCGGATCCCAAATCCTGGGATTGCCCCGTTTGGATCCCAAATCCTGGGATTCCCGTTTGGATCCCAAATCCTGGAATTCCCGTTTGGATCCCACACCCTGGCATTCCCCAATTTCAGTCCCAAATCCTGGCATTCCCCCTTTGAACCCCAAATCCTGCGATTCCCGATTTCCATCCCAAATCCCAGAATTCCCCAATTTCCATCCCCAATCCCTGATCACCTCATGGACGCCTCCCCTTCCCGGGGCTCCCCTTCCTTCGGCCTCTTCAGCAATTCCAGGATTTTCCCTTTTCCCACCCCTCCTTCCCGGCGTTTGTTTTGGGGGGGACCTTTTGGCTCTCCGGGGGTCATTCCTGAGGTTTTTCCCGATGTTTTTTTGGGATCAGGAGGCCGGAGGCGGCCGTGGAGATGGACGAGATGGTGGCGGCGCTGGTGCTGACCAGCCTGTCCTGCAGCCCCGCCCTGCGGCCCCGCAGCCCCCGTGAGTCACCCCCCAGAATTCCCAAAAAATCCCATCCCAAAACGGCCCGGGAATGACGGGAATGCCAGGAATGCCGGGAATGGGAGGCGCCGGGGCTGTGGGATATGGGAATGGCACAGGGTGGGGTTTTGGAGGGGATTTGGGATTCTGCTGGGAGCAGGGAGGGAATTTGTTCCCAAAATCCAAGCTGGGAAAAAAATAATTTGGGAGAAATCCCAAATTCCTCCTGTCTGGGAATTGCAGATCCGTGTCCCCGAGTGCCACCTCCACAGGGGATTTGGGAATTCCTCTGGGAATGGGGATTCCAAACCGCCCTGGGAAAGCTTTCCTGGAAAGGAATTCCCAAAATCCAGCCTGAACTTCTCCTGGAAGAGCTGGAGAAATCCCAATCCCAGGGAATTCCAGATCCCTGTCCCCAAGTGCCACCTCCACAGGGATCAGGAATTCCTCAGGAATGGGGCAAAAATTATTCCCGAAATCCAGCCTGAACTTCTCCTGGAAGAGCTGGAGAAATCCCAATCCCAGGGAATTCCAGATCCCTGTCCCCAGGGGCCACCTCCACAGGGATCGGGAATTCCTCAGGAATGGGGCAAAAATTATTCCCAAAATCCAGCCTGAACTTCTCCTGGAAGAGCTTCTGGCTGTTCCCGGGAGAAATCCCAATCCCAGGGAATTCCAGATCCCTGTCCCCAAGTGCCACCTCCACAGGGATCGGGAATTCCTCAGGAATGGGGCAAAAATTATTCCCGAAATCCGGCCTGGAACAATCTGGGATAAATCCCAACCCCCCTGGCTGAGCCCTGATCCCAGGGAATTCCAGAGGGGACAAAGCCGGGGGTGGCACCGAGGGGACAAACCTGGGGGTGGCACCGAGGGGACAAAGCTGGGGTGGCATCGAGGGGACAAAGCTGGGGGTGGCACCGAGGGGACAAACCTGGGGTGACACAGGGGGGACAAACCCGGGGGTGACACAGAGGGGACAAAGCTGGGGGTGACACCGAGGGGACAAAGCTGGGGGTGACATAGGGGGGACAAAGCTGGAGTGGCACCGAGGGGACAAAGCTGGGGGTGACACAGAGGGGACAAAGCTGGGGGTGGCACCGAGGGGACAAAGCTGGGGGTGGCACCAAGGGGACAAAGCTGGGGGTGACACAGAGGGGACAAACCCGGGGGTGACACAGGGGGGACAAACCCGGGGGTGGCACCGAGGGGACAAAGTTCTGGGCGGAGCTGGGTTCCGGAAGAAGGACGTTGTTCCTGAGGTGACAGTGGCACTGTGTCCCCAAGAGGTGACAATGGCGCCGTGTCCCTGAGGTGACAGTGGCACCGTGTCCCCATGGGAGTTCAGCTGTCCCTGAGGTGACAGAGGCAGTGTGTCCCCAAGAGGTGACAGTGGCACCATGTCCTTGAGGTGACAGAGGCAGTGTCCCCTCAGGGGTTTGGCTGTCCCCAGGGTGACAATGGCACCGTGTCCCTGAGGTGACAATGGCACCGTGTCCCCTCAGGGATTCGGTTGTCCCCAGGAAGTGACAATGGCGCCGTGTCCCTGAGGTGACAATGGCGCCGTGTCCCTGAGGTGACGGTGGCAGTGTCCCCTTAGGGGTTTGGCTGTCCCCAAGAGGTGACTATGGCGCCGTGTCCCTGAGGTGACAGTGGCACTGTGTCCCCAAGAGGTGACAATGGTGCCGTGTCCCTGAGGTGACTGTGGCAGTGTCCCCTTAAGGCTTTGGATGTCCCCAAGAGGTGACAATAGGGCCATGTCCCTGAGGTGACAGTGGCAGTGTCCCCTCAGGGGTTTGGCTGTCCCCAGGAGGTGACAGTGGCACCGTGTCCCCATGGGAGTTCAGCTGTCCCTGAGGTGACAGTGGCACTGTGTCCCCAAGAGGTGACAGTGGCACCATGTCCTTGAGGTGACAGAGGCAGTGTCCCCTCAGGGGTTTGGCTGTCCCCAGGGTGACAATGGCACCGTGTCCCTGAGGTGACAATGGCAGCGTCCCCTCAGGGATTCGGTTGTCCCCAGGAAGTGACAATGGCGCCGTGTCCCTGAGGTGACAATGGCGCCGTGTCCCTGAGGTGACGGTGGCAGTGTCCCCTTAGGGGTTTGGCTGTCCCCAAGAGGTGACAATGGCTCCGTGTCCTTGAGGTGGCAGTGGCACTGTGTCCCCAAGAGGTGACAATGGCACCGTGTCCCTGAGGTGACAGTGGCAGTGTCCCCTTAAGGCTTTGGATGTCCCCAAGAGGTGACAATAGGGCCATGTCCCTGAGGTGACAGTGGCAGTGTCCCCCCAGGGGTTTGGCTGTCCCCAGGAGGTGACAATGGCACCGTGTCCCCTCTGGAGTTCTGCTGTCCCTCTGTCCCCAAGGTGACAGTGGCCCTGTATCCCTTCAGGGACTTGGTGGCCCCGTGTCCCCTCAGGGGTTCAGATGTCCCCATGTCCCCAGGGTGACAGTGTCCCCGTGTCCCCATGGCAGTTCAGCTGTCGCTGAGGTGACAGAGGCAGTGTCCCCTCAGGGACTCGGTTGTCCCCAGGGTGACAATGTCCCCGTGTCCCCATGGGAGTTCAGCTGTCCCTGTGTCCCTGAGGTGACAGAGGCGCTGTCCCCAGGGTGACAATGTCCCTGTGTCCCCATGGGAGTTCAGCTGTCCCTGAGGTGACAGTGGCAGTGTCCCCTCAGGGACTCGGTTGTCCCCAGGGTGACAATGTCCCCGTGTCCCCATGGCAGTTCAGCTGTCCCTGAGGTGACAGTGGCAGTGTCCCCTCAGGGGTTTGGCTGTCCCCAGGGTGACAATGTCCCCGTGTCCCCTCTCTCAGCCTCGCAGGTGGCCGGTGACCCCTGGAGGGACAGCGGGGACATCTCGGACAGCAGCAGCAGCAGCAGCGGCCACTGGAGCAGCGCTGGCAGTGCCACCGCGTCCCCTCCCCGCTGTCCCAGCAGTGTCACCCCCTCCCCTCCTTACTACCCTGACGCTGCCACCCTGTCCCCTCCTCACCGTGGTGGCAGTGCCACCCTGTCCCCTCCTCACCGTGGTGACAGTGCCACCGCGTCCCCTCCTCACCGTGGTGGCAGTGTCACCGCGTCCCCTCTCCACTGTGGTGGCAGTGCCACTGCGTCCCCTCTCCACTGCGGTGGCAGTGTCACCGTGTCCCCTCTCCATTGTGGTGGCAGTGTCACCGTGTCCCCTCCTCACCGTGGTGGCAGTGCCACCGTGTCCCCTCCTCACCGTGTGGTGGGCAGTGCCACCACGTCCCCTCCATACTACCCTGGCAGTGCCACTGTGTCCCCTCCTCATTGTCCCGATGCTGCCACCATGTCCCCTCCCCACTGTCCCAGCAGTGTCACCATGTCCCCTCCCCGCTGTCCCAGTGCTGCCACCCTGTCCCCTCCTCACTGCCCTGGCAGTGCCACCATGTCCCCTCCCCACTGTCCTGGCAGTGCCACCGTGTCCCTTTTTACTACCCTGGCAGTGCCACCATGTCCCCTCCTCACTGTCCCAGCAGTGCCACCGTGTCCCCTCCTCACTCCACTGGCGCTGTCACTGTGTCCCCTCCCCATGGCCCTGGCAGTGCCACCGCCACATCCCCATCTCACTGTGCTGGCGCTGTCACCGTGTCCCCTCCCCACCGCGCTGGCACTGCCACCACGTCCCCTCCTCACTGTCCCGGCAGTGCCACCGTGTCCCCTTCCCACCACACTGACACTGTCCCTGTGTCCCCTCCCCGCCGCACTGGCGCTGTCCCCGTGTCCCCTCCCCGCCGCGCTGGCACTGTCCCCGTGTCCCCTCCCCGCGGCACTGGCACTGTCCCCGTGTCCCCTGCGAGCGATGGTGGCTGTGACACCGACGCCGATCCCTCGGTGCCGGAGGAGCGCACACCGCGCCGGAGGAAGGTGGGTGCCGGCGTCGCGGTGTCCCCGGGCGGGGTGACGGTGACAGTGGCGGTGGCGGTGGCGGTGGCGGTGGCGGTGGCGGTGGCGGTGTCCCCGCGCCGTGTGACGTTGCTGCTGTCCCCAGGGCCCGTGGCGGGCGCTGTTCCAGTGCCTGTGGCCCGGCTGTGGCCGCGTGCTGCGCTCCGGGGCCGGCATCCGGCGCCACGTGCGCTCCCAGCACCTGCGGTGAGCACCGGCGGCGTCCCGGGATCCACAGCATTCCCAGCATTCCCAACATTCCCAACATTCCCAACATTCCCGACGTTCCCAACATTCCCCGTCCCAGAATTCCCACCGTTCCCACAATTCCCCGTCCCAGAATTCCCAACATTCCCACAATTCCCCATCTCAGAATTCCCACAATTCCCACAATTCCCCATGCCAGAATTCCCAACATTCCCACAATTCCCACCATTCCCAGAATTCCCCATCCCAGAACTCCCTACGTCCCCACAATTCCCCATCCCAGAATTCCCACCATTCCCACAATTCCCCATCCCACAATTCCCAACGTCCCCACAATTCCCAGTCCCACAATTCCCAACATTCCCACAATTCCCCGTTCCAGAATTCCCAACGTTCCCACCATTCCCAACATTCCCACAATTCCCACAATTCCCACCATTCCCCATCCCAGAATTCCCAACGTTCCCACAATTCCCCATCCCAGAATTCCCTACGTCCCCACAATTCCCCGTCCCAGAATTCCCAACGTTCCCACAATTCCCCATCCCAGAATTCTCTGCATTCCCTGCATTCCCACAATTCCCCATCCCAGAATTCCCAACGTTCCCACCATTCCCAACATTCCCAACATTCCACAATTCCCACCATTCCCCATCCCAGAATTCCTGACATTCCCACAATTCCCCGTCCCAGAATTCCCTACATCCCCACCATTCCCCATCCCAGAATTCCCTACGTTCCCACAATTCCCCATCCCAGAATTCCCACAATTCCCCATCCCAGAATTCCCAACATTCCCACAATTCCCCATCCCAAAGATGCTCCCACAGATAATTCCCCAAATCCGTGGGATTTGTCCCTCTGGAATTCCCAGTTCCTGCGGGAAATGGGCGCTTCCGTGTCACTGAAGCCATCACGTCTCCCTTGTCACCTGTGTCCCTGTGTTGTCACCCGTGTCCCTCTGGTGTTGTCACCTGTGTCCCTGTGTTGTCACCTGTGTCCCTGTGTCCTTCTGTTGTCACCCATGTCCCTGTGTCCCTGTGTTGTTGTCACCCGTGTCCCTCTGTTGCTGTTACCTGTGTCCCTGTGTCCCTGTGTTGTCACCTGTGTCCCTGTCACCCCCATGTCCCTGTGTTGTTGTCACCATGTCCCTTTGCTGTCACCTCTGTCCCTGTATTGTCACCCGTGTCCCTCCGTTGCTGTTACCTGTGTCCCTGTGTCTCTGTGTTGTCACTCATGTCCCTTTGTTGTTGTCCGCCATGTTCCTGTGTCCCTGTGCTGTTGTCACTCATGTCCCTCTGTTGTTGTCACCTGTGTCCATGTGTTGTCACCTGTGTCCCTTTGTTGTTGTTCCCCATGTCCCTGCGTCCCTCTGTTGTTGTCCCCATGTCCTTCTGTTGCTGTCCCGGTGTCCCTCTGTTGTCGTCTCCCATGTCCCTGTGTCCCTGTATTGTCACCCGTGTCCCTCTGTTGTCATCTCCCATGTCCCTGTGTCCCTGTGTTGGTGTCCCCATGTCCCTGTGTCCCTGTGTTGCTGTCCCATGTCCTTCTGTTGCTGTCCCATGTCCCCGTGTCCCTGTGTTGGTGTCCCCATGTCCCCGTGTCCCTGTGTTGCTGTCCCCATGTCCTTCTGTTGTTGTCCCCGTGTCCCCGTGTCCCTGTGTTGGTGTCCCCATGTCCCTGTGTCCCTGTGTTGCTGTCCCCGTGTCCTTCTGTTGCTGTCCCCATGTCCCTGTGTCCCTCTGTTGTTGTCCCCATGTTCTTCTGTTGCTGTCCCCGTGTCCCTGTGTTGCTGTCCCTGTGTCCTTCTGTTGCTGTCCCCATGTCCCCGTGTCCCCTGTGTTGCTATCCCCGTGTCCCTGTGTCCCTCTGTTGTTGTCCCCATGTTCTTCTGTTGCTGTCCCCGTGTCCCTGTGTTGCTGTCCCTGTGTCCTTCTGTTTGCTGTCCCCATCTCCCTGTGTCCCTCTGTTGCTGTCCCCGTGTCCTTCTATTGCTGTCCCCATGTCCCTGTGTCCCTGTGTTGCTGTCCCCATGTCCCTGTGTTGTTGTCCCCGTGTTGTGCCTGTGTTGTCCCCGTGTTGTCCCCCGTGTCCCCAGCAGGGCTGGCTCGGAGCGTGAGGGAGGATTTCTATTTCACGGAGCTGCGCCTGCCCGAGGAGGAGCCACCGCCCCCGGAGCTGCCACCTCCCGCTGTCCCCAGCGCTGTCCCTGCTGTCCCCAGCGCTGTCCCCACAGCTGTCCCCAGCTCTGTCCCCAGTGCTGTCCCCACAGCTGTCCCCAGCGCTGTCCCCAGTGCCAGCGGGGCCGTGTCCCTGCTGTGTCCCCGTGCTCACCCAGCCCGGCCCCGACCAGCCCGGCCTGAGCCACTCGGCCCCGCCCGGCTCCTTCTGGCACATCCAGGCCGACCACGCCTACCAGGTGACAGCACGGGGACACCTGGGGACAGCGATGGGACATGGGGGGATACGGCTGGGGACAGGGCTGGGACACTGGGGGATACGGCTGGGGACAGGGCTGGGACACTGGGGACATTCCTGGAGACAGGGCTGGGGACAGAGCTGGGGATAGAGCTGGGACATGGCTGGGGACAGAGCTGGGACATTGGGGGATACGGCTGGGGACAGAGCTGGGACACTGGGGGATACAGCTGGGGACAGAGCTGGGACATTGGGGGATACGGCTGGGGACAGAGCTGGGACATTGGGGACATTGCTGGAGACATGGCTGGGGACAGCGCTGGGACACTGGGGATACGGCTGGGGACAGGGCTGGGACACTGGGGGATACGGCTGGGGACAGGGCTGGGACACTGGGGGATACAGCTGGGGACAGAGCTGGGACATTGGGGGATACGGCTGGGGACAGGGCTGGGACACTGGGGACATTCCTGGAGACATGGCTGGGGACAGAGCTGGGACATGGGGGACATTCCTGGAGACATGGCTGGGGACAGAGCTGGGACATGGGGGATACAGCTGGGGACAGAGCTGGGACACTGGGGACATTCCTGGAGACAGGGCTGGGGACAGAGCTGGGGACAGAGCCAGGGATAGAGCCAGGGATAGAGCTGGGACATGGCTGGGGACAGAACTGGGGACAGCACGGGGACAGCATGGGGACAGAGCTGGGACATTGGGGACACTCCTGGAGATGTGGCTGGGGACAGGGCTGGGGATAGAGCCAGGGACAGAGCTGGGACATGGCTGGGGACAGAGCTGGGGACAGCACAGGGACAGCACGGGGACAGAGCTGGGGACATTGGGGACATGGCTGGGGACAGGGCTGGGGATAGAGCCAGGGACAGAGCTGGGACATGGCTGGGGATGTCCCTGGGGACATTCATGGGGACATTCATGAGGACATGGCCGGGGATGTCCCTGGGGACATTCATGGGGACAGAGCTGGGGACATGGCCGGGGATGTCCCCTGGGGACATTCCCCCAGCTCAGGGATTTCCATCCCTGCCCCCTGGTGTCCCAAACTCAGGGATTTGTGTCCCTGTCCCTGTCCCTAACTCAAGGAATGGGGCATTTCCATGGAATGGGGGATTCCTGGGAATGGGGGATTCCCAGTGGAATGGGGGATTCCTGGGAATGGGGGATTCTTGGGAATGGGGAATTCCCACAGGAATGGGGGATTCCTACAGTAATTGGGGATTCTCAGGGAAGGGGGGATTCCTGTGGGGGATTTCCAGGGAATGGGGAATTCCCGAAGGTATGGGGGATTCCTGGGAATGGGGCATTTCCATGGAATGGGGGATTCCTGGGAATGGGGCATTTCCGTGGAATGGGGGGATTCCTGGGAATGGGGAATTCCCGAAGGTATGGGGGGATTCCTGGGAATGGGGCATTTCCATGGAATGGGGGATTCCTGGGAATGGGGCATTTCCGTGGAATGGGGGATTCCTGGGAATGGGGCATTTCCGTGGAATGGGGGATTCCCAGGGAATGGGAGATTCCCATGAGGGATTTGCATGGAATGGGGCATTTCCAGGGAATGGGGGAATTCCCAGGGAATGGGAGATTCCCATGAGGGATTTGCGTGGAATGGGGCATTTCCAGGGAATGGGGGAATTCCCATGGAAATGGGGGATTCCCAGGGAATGGAGGATTTCTAGGGAATGGGGGATTCCCACAGGAATGGGGGATTCCCATGGAAATGGGGGATTCCCAGGGAATGGGGGATTCCTGGAACTGGGACATTCCCATGGAACTGGGACATTCCCAGAGCTGAGCCTGTCCCCGTTCCTGTCCCCAGGCCCTGCCCTCCATCCAGATCCCGGTGTCCCCCCACATCTTCACCAGCATCAGCTGGGCCACTGCCACCTGCCCCCTGCCACCGGTGAGTGTCACCTGCCCCAGTGTCACCTCCCTCAGTGCCACCTGCCCCCTGCCACCTCCCTCAGTGCCACCTCCCTCACTGCCACCGGTGAGTGCCACCTGCACCTCCCTGAGTGTCACCTCCCTCACTGCCACCTCCCTCAGTGCCACCTCCCTCAGTGCCACCTGCCACCTGTCTCAGTGTCACCTCCCTGAGTGTCACCTCCCTCAGTGCCACCTCCCTCAGTGCCACCTCCCTCAGTGCCACCTGCCCCCTGCCACCAGTGAGTGCCACCTCCCCCCTGTCCTCCTTGTCACCGTGAGTGCCACCTATGCCAGCTCTGCCCTGCATGAGCCAGTGCCTCCTTTTTCCTCTTTTTCCCCTCCTTTTCCCTCCTTTTCCCCTTCTTTTCCCCTTTTTTCCCCTCCTTTTCCCCTCCTTCCCCTTCTTTTTCCTCTTTTTCCTCTTTTTCCCCTCCTTTTCCCTCCTTTTCCCCTCTTTTTCCCCTTTTTCCCCTCCTTTTCCCCTTTTTTCCCCTCCTTTTCCTCTTTTTTCCCCTCCTTTTCCCTCCTTCCCCTTCTTTTCCCTCTCCTTTTTCCCTCAATTTCCCCCTTTTCCCCTCTTTCTTCCCTTCCTCTTTTCCTTTTTTCCTCCCTTTTTCCATCCCCTCCCTCCCTTTTTCCTTGTTTTCTCAGTCCTTTCCCCCTCCATTTTCCCCTCCTTTCCACTCCTTGTTCTCCTCTGTTTTTCCCTCAATTTCCCTTCATTTTTTCCCTTTATTCCTCCCTTTTTCCATCCTCTCCCCCATTTTTCCTTTTTTCTCTGTCCCTTTTCTCTCCTTTTGTTTCTTCCTTTCCCCACCTTTTCCCTTATTTTCCCTCCCTTTTCCCATCCCTTCCCCCTTTATTCCTTGTTTTCTCAGTCCTTTTTCCCTTCCTTTTCCCCTCCTTTCCTCTCCTTTTTTTCCTGTTTTTCCCTCAATTTCCCTCATTTTCCCTTCATTTCCCCCCTATTTTCTCTCCCTTTTTCCATCCCTTCCCCTTTTTCCCTTCTTTTCTCTGTTCTTTTTCCCTTTTTCCTCATTTTCTCCTCAATTTCCCCTATTTTTTTCCTCCTTCTTTCCCTTCTTTCTCCCTCATTTTTCCATCCCTTCTACCCTTTTTCCTTGTTTCTCAGTCCTTTTCCCCTGCTTTTTTCCTCATTTTTCCCTTTTTTCCTCCTTTTCCCCCTCCCTTCCTCCTCTTTTTCCTCAATTTCCCTCCTTTTTTCCACCCCTTCCCCTGTTTTTTCCTAATTTTCTCAATCCTATTTCCCTCTTTTTTTCCTTCCTTCTTCCTCTCCTTTTCCCTTTTTTCCTCTTTTTTCCATCCCTTCCCTCATTTTTTCTTAGTTTTCTCCATCCTTTTCCCTTCCTTTTCCCTCACTTTTCCTTCCCTTTTCCCTCATTTCCTTCCCTTTTCCCTCTCTTTTTCCTTCCTTTTTCCCTTCCTTTTTCCCTCCTTTTTCCTCTCACTTCCTTTCACTTTTCCTTCCTTTTTCTCTCATTTTCCCTTCACTTTTCCTTCCCTTTTCCCTCATTTTTTTCCGTTTTCCCTCCTTTTTTCCTTCCTTTTTCCTCTCCTTTTCCCTTCACTTTTCCTTCCCTTTTCCCTTCACTTTTCCTTCCCTTTTCCCTCATTTTTTTCCTTTTTCCCTCCTTTTTTCCTTCCTTTTTCCTCTCATTTCCTTTCACTTTTCCTTCCTTTTTCTCTCATTTTCCCTTCACTTTTCCTTCCCTTTTCCCTCATTTTTTTCCGTTTTCCCTCCTTTTTTCCCTCCTTTTTCCTCTCCTTTTCCCTTCACTTTTCCTTCCTTTTTCTCTCATTTCCTTTCACTTTTCCTTCCCTTTTCCCTCATTTTTTTCCTTTTTCCCTCCTTTTTCCCTTCCTTTTTCCTCTCATTTCCTTTCACTTTTCCTTCCTTTTTCTCTCATTTTCCTTTCACTTTTCCTTCCCTTTTCCCTCATTTTTTTCATTTTTCCCTCCTTTTTTCCTTCCTTTTTCCTCTCATTTCCTTTCACTTTTCCTTCCTTTTTCTCTCATTTTCCCTCCTTTTTTCCTTCCTTTTTCCTCTCCTTTTCCCTTCACTTTTCCTTCCTTTTTCTCTCCTTTTCCCTTCACTTTTCCCTTCCCTTTTCCCTCATTTTTTTCCTTTTTCCCTCCTTTTTTCCTCCTTTTTCCTCTCCTTTTCCCTTCACTTTTCCTTCCTTTTCCTCTCATTTTCCTTTCACTTTTCCTTCCCTTTTCCCTCATTTTTCCCTTTTTTCCTCCTTTTTTCCTCCTTTTTTCCTCCTTTTTTCCTCCTTTTTTCCTCCCTTCCCGCTCTTTTTTCCCGCCCTTTTCCCCCCCCTTCCCCCCCCTTGTCAGCCAAGCCCCCTTTTGCATACACCCCTCAAAACCCCTCACCTCCACCTTTTTTCCCCTTTTAATCCCCTTTTAATCCCCTTTTCCCCCTTTTTCTCCCCTTTTTTGCCCTTTTTTGCCCTTTTTGCCCCGTTCCCCCCCTCAGGCTCGAAGCCGCTCCCTCAGCCTCAGCGACCCTCAGCCCCCTCAGCCGCCGCCATTGCTGCAGCCCCAGCTCCTCGTGGCCTCCCCGCCCCGCGCCTCCCTCGCCGCCAGGTAAGACCCCAAAAAAACCCCCCAAAATCCCCCAAAATCCTTCAACCCACCAGCAAGAAAACCCCCAAAATTTCCCCTTTTCCAGAAAAATCCGCAGCGAGGCCAAGAAATGCCGCAAGGTTTACGGCATCGAGCACCGGGAGCAGTGGTGCACGGCGTGCCGCTGGAAAAAGGCCTGCCAGCGCTTCCTGGACTGAATTCCCACCTGAATTCCTCTTTGCCCACCTGGAATTCCTTCAGAAATTTGGGAATTTCCTCAGGAATCTGCTGAGAGTTCCCTCAGAAATCTGGGAATTCCCTCAGGAATTTGGGAATCTCTCATTGCTGCAAGTGGGGACTGAATTTTGCCTCCATATTCCCCTTTTCCCACCTCAAATTCCCTCAGAAATTTAAGAATTCCCTCAGGAATTTGGGAATCTCTCATTGCTGCAAGGAGGGACTGAATTTTGCCTCCATATTTCCCTTTTCCCACCTGGAATTCCCTCAGAAATCTGAGAATTCCCTCAGAAATCCAAGAATTCCCTCAGGAACTTGGGAATCTCCCCATTGCTGCGAGCGGGGACTGAATTTCGCTGCCATATTCCCCTTTTCCCACCTGAATTCCCTCAGGAACTTGGGAGTTCCCTCAGAAATTGGAGAATTTCCTCATGAATTTGGGAATTTCCTCGGAAATTTGGGAATTTTCACATTGTTGCGAGCGGGGACTGAATTTCGCTGCCATATTCCCCTTTTCCCACCTGAATTCCCTCAGAGAAATGGAAATTTCCCTCAGAAATTTGTGAATTC